GTGTCTGGTGTTCCACATCATAATCCTCTGAAGCGACTGCTTTTCTTGGCCTTTCATCCTACTGCTTTTGTATACCTCCCTTTTTTTTAAAATTATTCAGTTTATTTAAACTAAAAGACAAAAAAATTACAAAAAAGATAGTTCACCCGTTCTCTCTCAGTCCCTGCTCCACACCTCAGGTAACCAGCAATCTCTTCTCTGTATCTTGGTTTTTATTTTGATTTATTAGATTCCGCATATAAGTGAGATCATATAGTATTTGCCTTTCTCTGCCTGACTTACTTCACTGAGCATAATGCCCTCTACATCCATCCATGTTGTTGCAAATGACAAGACGCCCTTCTTCTTTATGGCTGAGTAATACTCCAGTGTGCGTGCACACCACATCCTCTTTCTTCATTCCTTCATCGGTGAATACTTAGGGTGCTCCCATGTCCCAGCTACTGTAAATAATGCTGGCATGAACATGGGGGTGCAGGTATCTCTCTGAGTTGGTGTTTTTGTTTTCTTCAGAAAAATACCCAGAAGTGGAGTTGCCGGATTGTATGGTAGCTTATTTTTTTCAAATTTTCTGAGGAACCTCCATACTGTTTTCCACAGTGGCTGCACCAGTTTATATCCCCAACAATAGTGCATGAGGGCCCCTCTTCTCCACATCCATGTCAACACTTGTCATTTGTTGTTTTTTGATAGTATCCATCCTGGCAGGGGTGATGTGCTAACTCACTGTGGAGTCGATTGCGTTTCCCTGATGACCAGTGATGTTGAGCATCTGTGTGTCCTCTTTGGAAAAATGTCTCTTCAGATCTCCTGCCCATTTTTAAATCAGATTACATTTTGTTTTGCTATTCAGTTGTGTGAGTGCTTTACACGTTTTGTGTTTTAGCCACTTATCAGATACATGATTTGGGAATACTGATTCTTCCAGTCCAGGAGCATGGAATATCATTCCACTTATTTGTGACTCCTTCTATTTCTTTCACTCATGTCATTTAGGTTTCAACACACAAGTCTTTCACTTCCTTGGTTAAATTCATTCCTAGGTTTTTTTTCTTTTGATGCAATTGAAAATAAGATTGTTTTCTTAATGTCTCTCACACTTCATTATCAGTGTAAAGAAATGCAACAGATTTTTGCATACTAGTTTTATATCCTGCAACTTTATTGAATTTGTTTATTAATTCCAACAGTTTTTGTTGGAGTCTTTAGAGTTTTCTACATATAATATCATGTCATCTGCAAATACTGAGTCTTACTTCTTCCTTTCCAAGTTGGATGACTTATTTTTCTTGAATAATTGCTCTAAGACTCCCAATACTGTGCTGAACAAGCGGCAAGAGTGGGCCTTCTGTCTCGTTCCTGATCTTGCTGCTGATCTTAGAAAAGCTTTCAGCTTTTCACTGCTGAGCACAGTGCTGGTTGTGGGCTTAGCACGTACGGCCTTTATGATGTTGAGGCGTGCTCCCTCTCTTCTGACTTTGCTGAGTATTTACCATAAATGGACGCTGGACTCTGTCGAATGCGTTTTCTGCGTCTACTGACAGGGCGTCTGGTTTTACCCCTCAGTCTGTTAATGCAGTACAGCACACTGCCTGGTGGGTGTCGAACCCCCCTTGCATCTCTGGAGTAAACCTCACTGATCACAGCGTATCGTCCTCTTCACATACTGCTGAGTTCGGCTTGCCGATGTTCTGTTGAGAATTTCTGTATCTATGCTCACCGGGGATACTGGCCTGTAACCTCCTGTGGCGTCCTTGTCTGGTTTTGGTATCAGGGCAACGCTGGCCCTCCTGTTTTCTGGGAGAGTCTGAGAAGGACTGGTACTCCTCTGAACGTTCAGTGGAATTCACCAGGGAAGCCATCTGGTCCTGGACTTTGGTTGGGGGGGGGGGTTGATTACTGATTCAATCTCCTTACCAGTAACTGGCCTGTTCAGATCGCCCACTTCATCGTGGCTCAGTCTTGGCAGGCTGTTCCTAGGAATCTAACCAGTTCTCCTGGGCTGTCCAATTTAGCAGCACGTATGTCTCCCCTGAGGTATGTTAGTGTCTGCTTTGTATGTTAGGTGCTCCTATGCTGAATGCATAAATGTCTTAAAATGTTGTATTTTCTTACTGAACTGACTCCTTGATCGCTGCATAACTCCCTTCCTTGTCTGTTACACTTTGACTTGAAGTCTGTCTGCTGATGTAAGTGTAATTACTCCAGCTTGTTTCATTCCCACTTACATGGAGTATCTTTTTCCATCCCTTCACCTTTAGTTTGTGTATCCTTACATCTAAAATGAGTCTCCTTTTTTAAAACAGTATTTGATGAGCCTTCCTCTAATTATGTGGGGCTTTTGAGGGGGGATTGGGTTTACATAGTTCTTTAATGGAGGTACTAGGGTTGAGCCCAGGACCTTGTGTGTCCTGAGCACGCGCCCTACCACTGAGCTGCACCCTGCCCGCTGAGGTGAGTGGCTTATAGGTGGGCCTTGGTTTTCATTTTAGTCACTCGGCCCGTCTTTGTGGGTGCAGTTACATTTAAGTGACTGCTGACAGGCGTGCGCTCACTGCCATTCTGGTACCTGTTCACCGTTTCCAGCCCCTCCCTGCCCCTCTGCCTCCTGCGCACCCTCTGTGATTCACTGCCTGCCGCCAGTGGTGCTTCTACTCCTCCATCTTCCAGGTACTCACCGTAGGCTTCTGCCCTGTGGTCACCACTAGGCTTGTGTGTAACAACTCACACCTGCAACAGTCTATTTTAAGTCGATAACAACTTAACTTTGATCTCATTCTGAAGCTCAACATTTTTACTGCCCTCCCCAACATTTTGTTTATCTTCTTATATTCCATATCTCTTTGTTGAAGTTCTCACTGTTTTCATCCATTCTTCTCCCCAGTTCAACAACCATCTCAAGCCCCAAGGACGCACTTCTACCCTTGGGCTGTTCAAAAGCCCTCAGAACTGGTATCTGTGTTACAAGACAAGCATGATGCTAGTGACACGTTCTATGAGAGACTGACTGAGGACCTGGGGCCAAAGTTGTGGATCTCTCAAGTAGCTGTCCGTAAACACCAGCACCAAGGCAGAAAACGACAGTACTTCTTCTCTGCTTTATGTGATGTGATGTCTCAGTGAGCAGAAAGCGAAGCACACCAAGACACAGAACTGCCTCTGGCCTAATCACCAGGACAGAAGGACGGCAGAGACACACTCACTGCCCTCTCAGCAAACGCTGATCTCTGACAACACCCTGTCCCTCCTCCTGAGCTGGGACAGAAAAGTTAACAGACTGGTCGTCTGTGTCTTTGCAAGATGTACCCCTTATCTAAGAAGGGCTGACCCACAGCTGTAAACACGGAACCCAGCCAGAGCAGGTGGAATCAGGAGCTGGAAATCCGCCCCCTCCACAGAAGCCATCCGGACGCACTGCCTTTCAGAACACACAGACGGGCAGAGGCCGCCGCCACAGGCTCACGGCTCAGCCCTCCTTACTCTGTGGTCCGTGGTAGCCATGCTGTGGCTGGCCTTCTGTGTGTCCCGATGCTTCCAGTGGGGCTCTGTCGTCCCCAGCACAGCACTCTCCCCTCCGGCTGCTGGAGCTGAAGGTAAGGAGAGGACGTCCAGTTCGAACTCGATCAGGTGGTAGGCAGGGGCGGCCGGCAGACTGATGCTCGTGACCTTGTCAGACGACTGGACCCGGAGCGCCGCGTCAGAAGCCTTTTCTAGGAAAGACAGAAACGTCAGTCCCAGCACACTCCTCTGTCTCCTTGTCCTTTCTCCTCTGGCGGGCGATGGGCCCGGCAGCGACCCGCCAGCCCAACTCCGGGGTGTCTAGGCGGGGCCACGGTGGGGAGGAGGGGAGCGAAGCCCCCACGGCAGAGCAGCGCTGCCTGGAAGCCGTCTGGTCGAGGCCCAGACTGCTGCTGTGCTCAGCCTGCAGACAGGAAAGGGTCCCCCTTTCACACACGGCCGGCCTGACCCGCCTGTGTCCCCGTGACGCTCCCACTCCGCCCTGCTGCAGGACCAGCTCGGACCAAGCCCGACTCAGAGAGGGAGCTGCGTCCTTCCCGCCCTCCAGCCCCCATCCTCAGGGCTGGGGCCTGGGGCAGGTGGGACTTCGCAGGGATCCCGACCAGCATCTCAAAAAGCGTATTTGCTTTTGCTTTCTGGCGAGGGGAGCTGGGGAGTGTGGAAGGAGGCTGGAGGCCAGCAGGGCCTCACCACGGAGCACAAGCCTCCTGAGATCACAGCACGGCCAGCACTGCCCCCAGCCGAGCACGTGCGCAGCTCTCCGTCTCTGCCCTCGAATGCAACGCCCCATGGGTGGGCAGGGCCGCAGTCCCCTACAGGTGGGACGCCGCAGTGAGACAGCGGCAAGGAGAAGCCGTCCTCAGGTGGACGGCAGGGACGACATTCCTTATAGCCTCACGGTGCGTCCACCTTTGCCAGGTGGCTGCCGCCTCACCTCTCGTGTTGGAATAGATCACAGCTCTGTTCTCCGCGTGACACAGGATGAGCATGGCTTCTATGTTGCTCAGCTGGAGGCTGTCCCCGTTTTTTACAGTATAATGGCCAGTAGTGACAGTGAACTTGACCTTCTGAGGAATACCAGCCAAAAGGCTATCTAAAGGGAAAAGGACAGCAATGAGCATCACTGTCAACCAGAAGGACCAACAGAAGGCCCACTGTAAGTTCAGAGAGCACTCTGTCTCTTCAAAGAGAAGATGTGTTCACTTTAAGTACTCCATGAATCGCTCAGTCTCCATCCGTCCACCTTCACTTCTCGCCTCAGTTACCAGGACTGCAGGGCTGAAGGGGCCCGCGCTGGAACGAGAGAATCTGTGAGCCTGACGGGTCTTATCACCACCTTGGTTTAGTGAGTTAGAGATCATGGTGGCAGCTGTGCATATGAGGGTCTCAAAATTTACCTGCTGGTTAGTTATTAAGAAAGAATCACCTATGGTGACAAAGAATATGAAAACGAATATATGTGTGTTCATGCATGACTGAAGTATTATGCTGTACACCAGAAACTGACACAACATTGTAAGTTGATGATACATCAAGTAAAAAAAAATACACACACATATATATATATATATACAAACAAAAAAAAAGAGAGCACGAGAGAATCAGATGATGACACTAAAGAAAAAACTAATAAAACAATGCGCTGCTGCCATTCAGATTTTTCCTGGCCTTCTGCGGTCAGGCCTTCTGCATCTTTGGTTCAGAAACAGCTGGCAGGGCCACCGCCTTCTCCTAGATGGAAACGGAGGGCAGGCGTGGGCTGAGGTTTCTGAGAATCCACTCCAGGGACAGCAGAAGGAAGACAGCAAGGGGGAAGACACAGGAAGCAATCAGCAGACGAGAGAAAGGAGGAAGGGCTTGGAGCTGGGCGAGGTGTGAGCCGACATCTCCCAGGCCCTCAGTGCCATGAAGCTTAGCCTTTCCCACAGAAGATTCTCTGATGAAAATTATTTGAGAGACTGACTGCTGTCTTCAGCATCTGAGGGCCTTCTAGGTAGCCATGGAGAAGTTTAAAAGCATAAAAATAGGGAGTTTGGAGAGATTAAATAAAAACAAAGCTTTCCTTCATTTCTTTCCCCAAATGGAAGAAACAAGCAAATAAATACATTGTTTCCAGCCTAAAACAACCAAGCCAGTCACTCATTAGTGTTTCAGCCAAGGGCCACGCCGCCTCCACTAAGCTGCTTACAGCGATTTCTACTAATTTCAGGACTTAACAAAAAGGACAGCAGCTTTGAGTTTCCCAAACGCCGTGCCGGGGGCCGGGGGTCGAGTGTAATCAACACTTGGAAAGAAGAAGACTTCTGATCAGAGTACAGGCCATAACTAAATCTAGCATTTTGCCTTTGAAATGGAACTCTAAGCATGAAAGTGTATTTACTTACTAAATTCTCTGCAGTAGACATCAGCCGATGTCTAGCTTTTATTTTTCTTATTTTCAGATGCAGAATATTTATTAAACATGAAAGTAGCAGTTACAGAAGAGCAATTATTCAGATGAACAGAAGAGCCACAGTCGCTGCCCAAAATTCCCCTGAGAGAGAAGCCGGCTCTGGGAAGGCGGGAAGGCTGGCGCTGCAGGAAGCCCGGCCGCACGGGGCTCCCTGGGAACGGGGTGGAGGGGCCCACGGACAGGAAAGCGCCCCCGCGGCCCGCGCGGCCCACTCACCGGCCAGCGGCTCCACACGCAGCTGCGGCTCCTGGGAGTACACGTCGTACTGCACCGGGGGGTGGATGTGCGGGAGCACGAAGCACACGGGGCCCAGCGAGGCGCACAGCTGCCGCAGCGTGTAGGTCCCGGGCTCCTTGGCCTGGGGGCAAGACCGTGAGTCCTGGCTCAATTAAGGGAAGGCGGAGCCACAGCCTCTGCGAGGACGGCTTCCTCCCCCTCCTCTCCCGCCTCTGGGCTACCACGTCCACCCTCGGGCTGCTCCTCAGATCCCTCAGGATCTCTCAGTCAATGGTTTTCTGCGTAACTGAGGCTTACATTTGACTCAAATTTAGTAAACTTTATTTGTGGCATTCTCTTCTGAAAAAGGTCCTTAACTGAGACACTCAGCATGAAACTTAAGACTCGACTGAAAACACACAGGGCAAATAGCTGCCCTTTCTGCCGGCCAAGTCCTCTCCAGTTACTGGGGCTTACAGAGCAACCTGCACTGTAGAAAGAGCACATCAGAGCGGGGCAGAAGCCACTGCAGCGCCATCCACACAGCCACAAAAGGAAAGTGAGGTTCACCGTGAAACTGCTATCTTCTTTAAAACCTCCTCATTTTAACAACTGAGGGTGTATTTTGGTAAAAGGGAAAAAGTCTAACTAAATCCAATGAGAACACAAATAATTCTCTGTTAAGAACTTCATTCAAAATTTATCTGCTGCCTTCAAATGATTTTAGTATGAAAAATTTTTCAAGACATCCATCTATTTTTCTTTCAGAAGATCAAAGCCTGGTTAGGGGACAGAGGCCTCTGAAGGACCTCCCCTCCTTCAGACAACTGTGCGAGCGCCACCCACTTCCTGACCATCTCTAAAACCAACGGCCGGCTCAGCGCCTACCTGCGTCTGGAAGGTTATGGTATTGGCCCCTGGTTCTAGGGTCACACTGGTGCACTTCAGCACGTGGGCCCCGTCCTCCAGGGCCACGCCCGTGGATGCTTCCAGAGCAGCCCCGCTCTCCTGCCTCCTCAGGAGCATGTGAACATTTTTGCATATAATCCCTGTGGTGTTCAAGGAGTTGTCAGAAGGGCTTCTCTCGAACATCTCACACAGCTCCAGCGCGGGCAGGCTGCTCTGCGGTGCAGGGCAAGGCGCAGCCTCCGCGGGAAAGCTGACCAGTCCGCCGGCTGCCCTGTGCTTGGTGAGCCACTCGGCAGTCTTCCGGTAGTTGTTCTTCTCGATGCTGAAGTGGACATGGATGGCGATCTGCTCCACCTGGACGGGGACAGGCATCTGACTGCACACAGTTATCTCCACGGACAGAACGCCTCCCACGTGGACCACAGCGTTGGGTGGGGTGAAGCGGAGGTCTCTCAGGTGTGCGAAAGAATGCAGGGGCAGTACTATCTTGTGACCTGGGAACACAAAGGGCCATGTTTTACTTCCCAAGTCACACTTCCAGATGCCACAGAGACAGCGGGGCCTCAGTCACTGCCGGGCCGGCCGGAGTACCCTCTACTTGAGAAGCAGGATGCAATGGTGCACAAGAGATGGCTTAGCACCTCCCAACCCCATGCCATCTTCACACACTGAAAGAGTCACTTTGTCAAAAGCATAAACACATGCCTACATAACTCCTGAAAATCATAAAATCTGAAGAAACTAAGGTTTCTAAGTTCTCTTTTAGCAGATCCAGCAACAACAGATCAACTAACAACTCAGTTTCAAAACCAGATTTGTAAACAGTCTGATTCCTAGAGCTGTTCCAAGGAGTCCCACCACATTCCCACCCACACAAAGAAATTCACAAGTGGAGAGGCCCGAATCTCCCTGTACACCTGGACATAAACCCAGGGTGCGCCACCCCATCCAGGCAGCCGCTGGAGCGGGGAGCCGGGAGGGCAGCGAGCCGCTGGCCCACGGTCACTGTCGGGGAGGCCCGGCCGCACCCTCCACCGTCCTTCCTGCGAGCGCTGGCGCGTCTAGGAGCCCACGGGCCCCCAGGCTGACCGGGAGTATTTGCTAAATGCACGTCAACCGCGTGCTCTGCCAAGACGGACACTGTGACATCACAAGCCGACACAGGACGGTCACAGGATGCTGCATTCACACAGCGATGCCACGGGCCGCAGGCAGAAGAGTGCCCCTGCCCCAGCTCACACCCACATCACACACAGCTGACGTGGCACACGGCTCTCCCGATGGCCAGTCTATGCACAGCAGACTCTAAATGACAGACTCGTCAGTACCATGCTGCCTGAGAAGCCGTCCAGGGGGCCCAGCATGATGAAGCGCACCCCCGTGCTCTCTGATCCTCAACCCGCAGCCACCACCTCTGGAAGCACTGGCTTTCAAGCAGTTAGTAACTGCTATGGACTGAAGTGCCCCCCCATGTTATTAAGTTTGGAGGTGGGGCCTCTGGGAGACAGTCAGGTTTAGAGGAGGCCATGAGGGACTCCTGCCCTCCTGCGAGGAGGCAGCAGAGAGCCCCCTCTCTAAGTCTCTCCACCTCTCCTCCCGCCTCCCATCCCCTCCCCACTCCCCAACTCCTTGTTATGAAGGACAAACCAGGAAGAGAGGCCTCACCAGGAGCCAGCCCTGCTGGCACCCTGACCTCAGACGCCAGCCTCCAGAACTGTGAGGAGAGGGCCGTCCGCTCTTCCAGCGCCCACTCTGTGGCGCTTGGTCGCAGCGGCCGGAGCTGAGGCGGCAGCTGCTCTGAACAAACGCTCCTGATAAAGCAGACAGGAGGGGCTCGGCACTGCGATGAACCTCGCCCGCTGTGCAGCAGCATCTGTGTCTGCTGCGATGGCCGGCCGGGCTCTGCCCTTCAGACCTGCCTTCCTGACAGGCACCCCAAAAGGAAACACTCAGCAAACTTCAGAAGCTGGGACAGCCTAGGAGACACTGGCTCGATGTCTCCAACAGGTCGGCGTCTTACAGCCCAGATGTCGCACACCGATGAAAGGAGCAGTGTGGTCCAGCCACACAGCAGAATAGTCACGAGAAGGGACGGAATACTGACACAAGCCACCACGCAGGCGGATCCCGAAAACACTGCTGCACGAAGGAAGCCAGGCACAAAACCCACAAACTGTATGATTCCACTTACATGAAATGTCCAGAACCAACATCTACAGAGACAGAAAGTAGACCGGTAGTTCCCAGGGACTGGGGGGTGGGGGGAGGGCAGAAGGCAGCTGGGTGGATGTAAGTATGGGGTTTCTTTCGGGGTGACAAAAATGTTCTAAAACCGACCGTGGTGATGGCCAGACATCTCTGTGATACACCAAAGCCACTGAACTATGCCCTACAAACAGGTGAATTACAGGAAATGTGAATTCCCTCTCAATAAAGCTGTTATGTTTAAAAAGGCCAGAGCCTTGAGAAAAGGGAGAAAAGGAGACAGGGAAGAGGTGCTCCGCGTTAGAGGAGAGCTGAGACGTAATCCATGCAGTACGTGACCCCGGTCAGGCGGGAAGAGGCCGGCCATTCTAACACAAAACAAAGCATGAAAACATGTTTTGAGACAATGAGGGAGACTGGAAGGGGGGCCGCCTGGTGCCCAAGCCAAGACCTTGTCTGCTCCCTGGGCAGGGTGGCTGGGGGACCACCCTTGTTTTCAGAAGATGCTGAACTGCCTCAGGGTGAAGAGGTACACGAGGTCTGGAGTGGCTCTGAAGTCCAGCGAAAAGGAGAGTGTAAGAAGAAAGGAATACCCAACGCCCGTTCCCTACACAGCGGAACGTCAACAGCTGCCGAGCTCAGGTGGCCAGCACACGTCACATACACGTTGCGTTACTCCTTCTCCTTCTCCATAAAATGTGAAATTTCTCACACAACAGTTGTAAACCTGCGCCTCACCTGGGCTGTCCGTCTGCCGGCTGGCAAAGCTGAGTATCTCCCTGCAGAAGGACTCCCGCTCCTCCTCGGTCAGGTGACAGTCGCTGGCTAAGAGGCTGCTGGTCTGCAGGTAGCTGAGTGGACAGTCAAGGGGCCTGAGAGGACCCCACGCTGCGGGAGCCGCGCGCAGCCCCCACCGCCCCGGCGCAGCCCGCTGGGCGCCCCTGCTCGGGGTTACAAGGTCAGACCTAATGACGGGGCGCCACCTGCTACCCAGCAGAGCCCGTGCGTCAAGCAGCTTTTCTCTCCTAACTATCAGGTACTTGTCAAGCACTCGGCCGTGGGCACTGCCGCTGCGCAAACGGAAAGTGACTTTCCCATTTCACGACCATGTTCAACTTAAAGGATACTTCTCAATTTGTCCGAGGCGTTTCTGACATTCGGCTAGCTGCTTCCTCGTGTGCGTGACAGGCAGGGCCCAGCCCTCAGCCAGGTAATTCTTCAGCGCTCCCTGAAGATAGACTTCTGCCTTTTGTGGGGACTTCTTCCTCCTTGCAAATCAACAAACAGAAGCTTTCATTATGAGTCATAAAAAGCGCCAGACTCAGACACAGCCCTCCGTGCCTCGCCCTCCTCCGCTCTTCACAGCCCGCTCGGACACAGGTGCGCAGTCCCCTGTACGGGACAGAACGTGAAAGCAGGACACATGGCGCGACCTGGGAAGTGCGCTCAGGGTGCGGGCCCGCACGCCGTCTGCCCAGCATCACACGTCAGTCGGAGAGCTTTCGGAGCTGAGCCTCCAGACAAGAAAGTGAGGGCACCACTCACTATTTCACGCTGACTCAGGAACACCCAGTGTAAAAGAAGGTGAAGAGTTTGTCCACAGGTGCACAACTAGTTATGGAGGGAGCCACGGACTCTGGGCTCGGTGCCACGCCCCACACAAGGAGACACAGGGCAGCCTGTGTGGACCCACCGAGACATGAGCCGGGGTTGCGCCCGAGACCCACAAATAGCACTGAGCAGGTTTATTTACAGAGAACCATGAAGAATTTAAACAGCAATACATACCACCCAAAAGATCTTCCCTGTCCCAATTTACACCCTCAAGATGTTCAGGATAAAACAAAGTTTAACACAGTTAATGAGCACTTTCCAAAGCTTCAGCGACAATACAGATCCCCTGGCCTTTCCAAAAAGTACCAAAGAAACTTCCAGGGCCAACAAGTGCGGGGCTACAGAGGTCAACACTAAGCAGCCCTCACTCGCCAGGCGTCCCGGGAAACAGCCAGTCTTCATGACCTTACTCTGGAAGGAACGCGTTCCCACATTCTCAAATGCACTTCAAACCTATCAAATTACATGCATGGATTTTTCTAGACTTCCACGGCCCTCTCCCACCCCTATCTTTAAAGGGGTCACTGCCTCTTTGGTTACCATCTCTAGCCAAAGACTCTTAGCGTTCCAGAGCTGGAAGGGAGACCCCTCTGTCATCCAGCCCCTGGAGGCACAGGCCGAGGGGCACCCAGCCAGTCTGCGGTCAGGCTGGAACCAGGGCCCAGGTCTCCCTAGCAGGCCAGCGCCCTCGCAGCACAGCTCCACACCTCGGGTGGGCTCAACTCCCAGCACCTGAGGGTGTGGCTTCTTTGCTCTGTTAGCTAATAACCGCTCCTCAGCTGCACCAGGTGGGGGCTCGGGAGAGCCCGGCTCCAGCCCCGACACTGATTAGCTGTGTGGCTGGCTACCTGCTGCAACCACATCTAGAAAACGAGGAAGGTCACTTAGAGGATCTACCTCTTCACAGACCCCTCGATCATTTAAAATAAATGATTCTTTCTTGCTCCATCTAATGAAGTTACTTTACTAATGATAGACTTCATTTCAAACACACATTTCTTCTAAGAAAACCTAAACATCTTTCCCTCACAATTTCCCTCCCTTCCCAGTGCTCTGAAACAGCAGGTACACTGCCAGCCAGGCTCTGCTCTTTGACAGGCTGATTTCATCACACTCATGAGAAACAGGCCACATTTTGAGTCTTTTCTCTGGAACCCAACTGTGAAGTGGGAGCCAGACTGGAAATGCTCACAGTGCCTGGACCCAGCGGCTGCCCGTCGGTCACAGCTCGGCCCTGGCGCTCACCTGGTCACACACATGCTTCCCATCACTGACCTCGAGGCTGTCCATCCTCCTGGGAGGCGTGTGACAGAAACCAGACAGAGTGCTACACAGCAACACGTGAGAATCCATGACACACATGACTTGCCACTGGGTGTGGGTTCATACGAGTTGTCTCACAGCTCTCTAGATTTCATAATAACACTACATTTTACTGCAGATAATATTATATATATCTTACCTACATATATGAGATTATGTAAGTTCACTAAGTCAATAAAAGAAGCAGATCAGTAACTCTTCAGGGTAATAAGCTGAACTCTCTGGCTTTCAAAAGAAATTTTCTTTGAAAATGATGACGACTGGGGAACAGTTTACATTTGTCATTTTAAAAGTTACGTACACCTCGTGTTTCCTCCCACATAGGAAACCTCTCACCATACATGTGAAATGTCTGAAATTCAAGTCAAAGTTCAAATTCAATTACATGTAAAACTCTGCCAGATCCTTTCCAACGAACTTAGCAGATCGAATCCTCCCGATGCTCGTATACATTTCAATGGTAGCATGGGACAAGTCCTGTGGGAAAGAAAAAGCAAGTAATTCTGGAATTTTAATGCTAGACAAAACTTACAGTTATTTACCCAAAGCTAAAGCAAAAGACTTTGTCACTAATAATTTACTTTGCATCTATTTTTGCATTGAGTTTTTATGTGATAGTGATTTATATAAAGTTATTAACTTGTATATAAATTATGAAGCATAATAATAAAAGAAATATGAACTCAGCAGCACAGAATATTCTCTTTTTTCGAAGTATTTTCCGTATGTGGGTAACATCTTGATATTTTTCTCACACTGTGGATAACAGAGATAAAATTACAGACTACTGTCAGATGCTCTTGAGTTTTCCACGACTTGAGAAAGCAAATGGTTCGCCGCGCCTCTACTGCACTGCTTTCTAAGCTCTCCCAAATCCAAGTCCTTTGAAACCAGGCACAACAGCTCTGCTCAGGTTCAGATTATTCCTCTGCACACAGAAAACCATTCACTGTCCTTTCTTACGATTTCCGTTCTACTGAATAGCAGTACCACTGTGAACAAGATTATGAACATCCAAAGATGCTTTATGCCTAATTACGGTACCGTGGATACTAAGAAGCAACGATCTTTTCTGGTCTGATCTAATGAAACTGCTAATTACAGATTTCATCCACAACTCCCTAGGGTACCAAAGAAACTTATAAGGCCAACAAGAGGGGGTTCCCAAACACCAGCTTATTCCCAATTCAAAAGCTCATGTACCAGAAAAGTCTCAGGGAGACGGGCTGTCTGCCACGGGTGGGCAGGGAACATCTGTAATACTTACTAAGTAGTGTTTTTCAAAAGCTTCTACTGATGACAATGCTTCTTTGAGTTTCTTATAAGGACTCTGAGCTGTGTTGGCTTAAAGAGAAAGAAATGAGTCCTGTTTCAGCACCATCATGCCCATCATGTGTGTTTACATTCAGCCCCAAGTGCCACAGGTAGAGGACTCCACCTGACGCTTGTGGAGATCACAGACACCCACGCCAGCCGGAGCTGTGTCACCACTCACATCCGTGTCCAGGTAATCTATTCACAAAACAGTCTCAACCCTTCACGTAATACTTTTATCTTTGAGACTAGAATTTTTTTAAGTATGTATTACAAATCCTCCAAAGAACTGAATTACTTCCAAAGTGATGTGAAGCGATCCCAAGCTGAAACAGTATAATTAATACACATGTAACACATTTTCCCTAACAAACCTACTCAATTCAGTAGGAGTCCTTTCAGGTCACTAGGATTTCTGTACTTAAGCAGCAGCTTTGCTAAACCACACTCATCTCTATGTTCGTACCAAGAAAAATTAGTCATGCTCAAGTGCTTTATTACCTAGGAGTAATTTACTGAATAAAAGGATCTGTCTGGCCATATAGTTAAAAAAGACACATCACCTGTAGTTAAGGGAGACCGGTGCATTTAAACCTCACGTGGGCTGTGAAAAGTCACAGGGAGCTCACTTAAGCCTGTGGGAAACTCAGGCACGTTTTTAAGAGTCCCCCCAACTTCTTTAACTATTTCTAACATTTCTTTATGTTACTAAAAGGTAAAATACTCTATGCATTAACCTGGCCAGCTAACAATGAGTACAATTTCCCAAGCGGTGAGTAGCTACTTTGCCAGAACCCGAGTCATACACGCCAGTTACAGCCGACATTCTCAGTACTTCCCACCGCGTGCACAGGCACATCCCAGAAGGTACCTGTTTCTGGTCGCTCGGCTCCCAAGCCCGCCAGAAGGTCCACTGTCCTGTTGAGGTCTTCTGAGTTAGGGCCCTTCTCCGACACAAGCCCACACAGGTAGCCCAAGGACTTCAGCTGTTGAGATAAACACAAACGTTCACTGACTTTGCCCTAAGAGTCAGCAGAGGATTTATAAATTGCAATGCAAAAATAAAATCCAAACTAAATCCTGGAAGACTGTAGCTTTCCTACCCACGTAACTCTCACTTGAATACAAAAATGCACCTCACTGGGGCTGCTCCACACTCAAACCTCCTGCACGGTAACTCTGAGTCACCCTGAGGTGGCCGCTCCCAGCCCACGCCTCCCCCAGGCTTTCAGGGTCTCCCACGCTGCCTGCCCCACACGACCCCCTCCAGCAGGCCTTCCTGCGGCACACGGTTAAGCAGAGGCCACTCCACGCTACATGAGGCTTCACACTTCCCCCTGTGGTGGCCCCCACCCCGTTCCTGAGTCCCGCCTTCGGCACAAGCACAGCAAGTGTCTGATCCCTGCTGAATCCAGTGACACTCACAGGGAACCACCTGATCCAGCTGCTGCCAGACACGCCCTAAAGCAACTAGACCCGCCCGTGGCTAAGTGACCAGTACGCTCCCCACAGCTCACCCCGCCCCGGAGGCACAGCCCAGGGACAGAGCTCACATCTGCACGCTGGCAGTTACCTTCTCGGTGGCGTAGCTCCACAAACCCACGGTGTGGGCAATGTTGGAGTCTATCTGTGCCCGGTCACAGCAACCTTCGATCCTCTGCAGCACCTCCAGACAGCTCAGAAACACCCAGCAGTCCAGAGCGCCGGGCGGGACGGAGACCTGGGGGCAGCGCAGGCGTGAGGACAGCGCTCGGGAAAGGGCCCGAGCCCGCGCGCCCTCATCTGCCCCTTCCAGCAGCGGCCCCAGCCCTGGGAGAGCGCCGGCGGGGTGGGGCGCCCCATGCCCAGACGTGCTGTCTGGGTCATGCTCCTGATGACCACGTTGACTCGGCACTGGTGTCACTTTCAACGATAGATTTTAAATGCTTGTTAAGAAAAGAAGCCTACAGAAAGGCTGACTAACATCCCTCACTCGAAGGTCGAAAACCGACCACCTCTCAGGTTAAGGGCACGTAAGGTGAAGGCGGAGCTAAGATCTCAGGTGACCGCTGGGTCACATGTCAGAAGGGGCATGTTCAACACTAGAAATCTGAATAGTAAGTAGATAGTAGATGATATTTAAGAATTACCATTAATTCTTAGGTGTAATTATGTGTATAAAAGAGAGCTCCTGTTGCTCAGAGACGTGATAGAGTAAGTGTCGTATTGGCAGAAAGCACCAGCCCCACAGGCCCGGATCTAAGACGGGCCCCCCCACGTCTCAGCATCTCCGACACAGGACTGTGTCTCACAGCCAGTGGCACCTGAACGCTTCTAGCTGGCAGCGCTGCCCGTCTCCCTGGTGGCACTGATATCATGAGGTACCCCATACTGTACCCCAGTTTTGGTGAGATTATGGTCATTGGTACTATTCCAAACGGGGACACAGTGGTGATGCTGCAACTGGCACAAATGAGAAGCTACCTGATGCCGACGAGATGGACTTATGTAAGGACTCCCTCAACAGCACACCCTGAGCACAGATAAAAGGACCTGGAACCAACTGTAAAGAACCAGAGAATGCCACGAAATGTCCCTATAAACGCTGAACTGGCCAGTCTTTGAAAAATGAAATAGACTACTTAGGTCCTTTGAGAAGAAAACTCAGTATAAAAAAAAAAACGTATGTGATCAGAAGCTACTTTCAGAAAGTGGTACAACTTTCTTGCCCAGACAATGGGCCGCACTCAAAGGGAGGCACAGGAGCTGGTGGGAAGGCTGCAGCCCGGGGCCCCGGTCGGAGCACGTCCCTCCGCCAGTCACACCAGGGCGGGCACCGCCTGGCATGCAGCCGTGGAGGGAGCAAACACCGCAACAAACACACAAGGGTGCCAAGCGGCCCACGTGGTCTCACCCAGGAGCCACTCGTCTGTAGACAGTGGCGGTGCACGTACCTCTGAAAGCCACCCAAACCTGACAGAGAGAAGCCACTGCCCACCGCTGGCCAAGCACCAGCAGAGCTTGCAGCTCCGCCGCCCCGTTCGGCACCAGCGGTGCCCCAGCGTCTCTAGACGACTCACACGCCCTGACAAGAAGGATGCCAAATGAGCACCTTTCCAGACTTCTGGGTCGCCTGATCACCTCTTCTGTGAGCAATACACTTTAAAAACTAATTTCTTAGTAGGTATTCTTCAGTCTTCTTAAAGCCTCCTCCTCTTCTGATACCAGCATTACCAGTAACAGCAAAGCTGTTTTACTGTTTTCTAAGCCTAAAATTAAAGGCATTCTTTTCATTCTCTTTTGTGAAACCTACTTTTTTTACGTAACACAAATGCTAAGAAACCTGCATCCTAAGTGAACCCCAAAGTGGCCCCCCTCGCTGGTCACAGGTGCAGCCGCCCCCCAGCTCCCTCCCAGCTGCCGTCCCCTGCATGGAGCCACCACCGGCCAGACGCCTCCCAACAGACCACTTCTGCTTAATCTTGAACTCTGCACACACGAAACAAAATGCAGGGTCCTTTTGTGCCAGACTTCTCTAGCTGAACTTTACATTTGGAAGACTCGCCCACCACAAGTGCGCTGCTGCCACTGCTGGGTGCTCTTTTGCTGCCTGAACAGCCGCGGCCACTGCTCCCCTTGCACGCGATGGACATTTGGGTTATTTCCAGTTTCTAGCGATCATGAACAATGCTGCCATGAGCGCCTCTGCGCTGTCTCCAGGCACACCTGTGTTTCCGTGACTTGGGGTGAAACTGCCGGCTCACAGGGCATGCACACATTTGGCTCAACCCCACTCGCCTCGAGAAAGGCGCTCCGGTTCCTCCACCATCTCACTAACCCTTGTCAGGCCTTTCCCTGCTGGCCACTCCGGCGGGGATGCTGGCATGTCACCGTGGTTTCAGCCTGCATCTCACTAGGGTCAACGAGGCTGAGCGCCCTGCACACGCTTCCTGCCCACCTGGATACCTTTTCTGCCTGTTTTCCACCAATGCGTCAGTCTTTTAAGCTGGTCTGCAGGACTTGTTTACATATTCTGGATGGAGGCCTCTCGACTCCACAGCCTGCGGGCCCTCTCCCACCCGGGCTGCCCTCCCACCCACTCCGCCGCATCTACTGACGAAGGGGCGCTTGGGTTTCCCCGCCGCCCAGGCTCTCCTGCCCTGCCTTCCCGGTTAGCACTATTCAGTCCTGTCTAAGGCGCACCTGCTAACCCCAAGGTCATGAAGATACTCTCCCATATTACCTTCCAGAAGCTTTCCTGTTTTGCCTTTCATATTTAGACTAAAACTCCACCTGGAGTTCATTGTGTATGGTGTGAGACAGATACTCAGTTGACTCAGAACCATTTATTCCTTGAGTAAATTTTTTTTACTGTTTATTCAGAATCTACCCCAACCACCTTAGTTCGGACCTCACCCTTCTCGCTAGGTTATGGCAGAAGTCTCTCTCTCTTCCCTGGGCCTCCGTCCAAGTCTTTGCTTCCCTCTGCCCCCCAACCCCCAGGTCCTCACGCCTTTCGTGGCACCCCACCTGCAAAGCCAACGATGGCTCCCTACTAGCTACAGAACAAAATCCAACTTTTAAGATGACACTTTCACAATCTCCCTTCAGAATCTGGCTTCCAGTAGCCTCTGTCCAAGTCCTCCCTTTCCACCTAAGTTCTAGCAGGACTAAGTTCCTTTAGAACTCTTTAAATACAAGTTACTTTTCTCTGCCTGAAACGCATTCTCTCTGCACCTGCCACCGAAGCCACGTCTACCTGGGGATTCTGACTTGGTCTACTTGTTCCACTAAAATGAAAGCTCCACAGTGTGGCGAGTGGGGAGGCCTACACTTGGGGAGACAGTGATGACAAGGACCAGGTCACTCAGCAAAGGGAGGCGCGGGGAAGTAGCACCCTGACGCGAGGGGCACAGAGCACACGGCTTGTCACCAGCCACGCCAGAGGACGAGCACCTAGACCCAGCCCGCTGCCCACCCCAGCCATGGGCATCTCCAGGCATCCCAGGCCCCGGGGCCCAACACTTCCCTGGAGGTTCTCTTTCTAGCCCAAAGGCTGACCCGTTCCAGCTACTTCTACAGAACTCGGGACACGGGCTGCGCTGGGCAGCGGGCGAGCGGGAAACCACGCGTCTTCCCTGTGGCCACCGCACTGTGCCCACACGCGGAAAGACAGAGGAGCAATGGCGGCCAAAGATGCTGGTGCAGGGACCCCGGAGGAAAAGGCATCACCACTCCCGCACCACACAGGTTGCCCCTAGCCGGCCTCCCACGTCCACTCTCCTGGCTTCACACCGCCTGCCCGGGAGCAGTGTGTCCCGAGGCCACGGCTCCTCCCGCCCAGCTTTCGGATGCCGGGGGGGCTCCCTCCTCACCCGGAGAGCCCAGCCTCTAACCGCATCCTCTCCTCTCCTCTCCTCTCTGCAGCCTGGCAGCCCCACTACTA